CCACGAGAAGCTGGACTCATTCGCACACAGAGCGATTAAATCTGCGAAGCATATAATTCCGAAGAATGAATATTTTCCAGTTGTGGTAGGGGGCCCAGCGTACAGACAAGAAACCAGCTGTTTCATGTTAGTTCCCGATGGGACTTCTCACACAGAGGCTCCTGCTGCAACATTCACTTCCTGTCAAGAGGAGTTGTGAGAGCTCTAGGCGTCCCTGTTCCCCTCTCACGCCCCCAGTTCCTCCTGGGGGAGTAGCAGTGATCCGTGCAAGGTCCCTGTGCAACTGTGTCCGGGTTCAAGGCCAACTCTGATATCAGAATCCAGCAACTCAATGGCTTTCTCCCCTGACGGTATTGAATGAGGTATTGTTCACAAGCAGACTGGGAAAGATAAGCATGGAGTCCATTTGACTCAGCTGTGTGGTCACGTGGTCCTGAGCATGTGCCGACAGTGGCTTCTCCCAGCCTCACAACATCACCTTTCCCGAGGCTTCCAGCAGAATTCGGGGGGATTTAGTCAGGCAGGATGCACCCCTGAAGCTGGCACTTTGGTAACACAGTGAATGTCTAGAATTTGTTTCTAAACTAGACACAGCGCGGCTGAAAGCCGTGGTGAGCACAGGGGCTGGCTCCACGTCCCTCGTGCACCAGGAGAGCTGCCGTCTGTCTCGGAAACTTTCCAGAACCCTCCAGAGGACTTGCCCCACAGAAATCCTGAGGTTTCGATTGTGTTAAATGAATGGGGCTGCATTCAAATTTCTTGCTCATGCCTATTGTTCATGATTTCATCACCAACAGAAAAGCTTAATTTTTAAAAAACATTTAAACTGTCTTCTTCAGTCCTGTGACCTGCTATTTTTCAAAAGCACCACAATCCCTAAAATCCATCCCTCAGGAAAGGAGAGGCAGGCTTCGTTCAGGCACATCACCGCGGCGGCTGGGCTGCGGGCCGGCCTGGACCAGAGCCAACGTCTTTCCATTTGGCAGAAATGCATGAAAGTGGTTGATTAAAAACCACTTTGGTTTTACTTTAACATTTACGTTATGTTTTGGGATCGTTTTTTTTAAAGGTTAGATCAGAAAATAAGTGGGCGTTTACTCACCCTGTAGCACCAGCATACAGAAAATGGGTGCTCTACATTCCTTCCTCTCCAGTTTGGAGGAAAAGTGCGTGTTTTGTCCCCGTAGGTGACTTTTAAACG